TCAGCACAAAAACAGACATGGCTCAAAGACACAGAATCAAGGATGCAGAAAGAACACCCCCTGCACATTCAATCATCTAGTCTTTGACAAAGGGGCCAAAATCATACTATAGAGGAATGGCAGTCTCTTTTGCACATTGGTGTTAGGAAAACTGGTTACATATGCCTGAAGATTGAAGCTAGACCCATTTCTCTCACAGGGCACTAAACCAAAAATCCAAAATGACTTAAAGATCTAAATATTAAGGGTATATGGTAAAAAAAGATATGATTGTTTTAAGTAATGGAGCAACGGAGTATTACTCAGTCATAAATTAGGAAAAACTTGAGAGTTTTATAGATAAATGGATGCAACTCGAGACCTTATTCATAGGTGAAATAAATTAGAAGCACATGCGTAAGCATCACATTATCTCCCTAATGTGAAAAGTTGAATGAGTAAATAAGATCAAAACTGTACCATAGAAACAGAAATTGGAAGAAACTGTTCAGAAGGAAAGAGAATCTGGGACGGGGAAAGAGAAAAGAAGGATGGAAAAAGGAAAAAAAAAACCGTGTGTGTGTACAAGACAGTTAAGATAATTAAACTATTAATTTCTCTTGGTTCATTGGAAAAAAACATTTTTGCTAATATTATTTTGGGCAACTTTTCATGCCTATAGCTTGTACTCTGAGCAACTACTTTAAAGGTAACAATAAGCAAGGTATTAATCATGAATAATATCTTATTATCTTGTTAGGAATTTTTTTGTCTCTTTAAAATAAAATTTAAAAAATATTAAAAGAAATATTTAACTTGTTGCAAGATAAAGTAGGTGAAATTCTTGAAGTCGTACATGAAAGCAAGGACTTTCCAAATAGAACTGTTAAATGCAGAAGAAATAACATTATAAATCGACACACTGGAATTTATTAAAGTAAAAATCACTTTGAACAGAAAAGGAGAATGAAATAAAAACTGACAGATTGGGAAAATTTATAGGATGGGGAAAACATTTGACAGCTACAACTTGGATGAAGGACTAATAGATAGAATATATAAAGAGTTGAAAAAATTAGACCCCTTAATGTAAAAGATTTAATTAAAAACTGGGTAACTGAAATGAACAAATACTTCTCAGAAGTTCAAATGACCAATAAATACAGAAAAGTGTTCAAATGACTGTTAAAGAAATGCAAATCAAGAGAACACTCAGATTCCATCTAACACTGGAAAGAATGGCTATCATCAAGAAAACAAATAGTAGCCAATAGTGATGAGGCTCTGGAGAAAAAGAAACTCTTATACATTGTTGATGGAAGTGTAGACCAGTGCCATCACTAGGGAAAAGAGTGTAGAGATTCCTCAGAAAACTGAAAATAGAAATTACATGCAAATCAGATATTTTAGGTATCTTCCCCAAAGAGTTAAACACATATTTATAACAACAGAATTTGTAATAGCTAAATCATGGAACCAGTGCCTATGTCCATCAATAGATGAAATGACAAAATGCATTATTTATACAGAAAGGAATACTACTTTGCTATAAAGAAAAACAAACTTTATTTATAGGAAAATGAATGTACCATGAAATCATAATTTGAAGTTAAATTAAGTCATACATCCAAGTTCAAATATTGAATGATTTCTCTTACATGAGAAACCCAAAGTATAATAAGTCAAAAACAAAATAAAATGAGTAATATAGATGATAAGAAACACAGTGGTACCCCTTTCATAAATGGAAAGGTGACCAATAGCTAGATGGAGGGAGATGGGGGCGGGTAAACAAGACACAAGGTAAAAAGAACTAAACTATTTTGTGTGTTTATACCAACTATCCAGACAAATGTAACCACTATCACAAACAGGTGCTAATAAAGAAAGAAAACTAAAATAAATAAATGGTGTATGTTTTCTAAAATTGATGTGATCATTCTGACACCAGTTCTCAGACCTAGGAAACTCCGTGAACACCAAGTAGGATAAACAATAACAACCAAGTTTAAGTACACTGTACTCAACCTACACAGCACCATTAGAAAATCTTGAAAACATGCAGGTATACATGGGAAAGTTTATTATAGAGCAAGCATAATAATCAGAATGGAGTTTTCATGAGATGACTAAAATTAAATATTTAATGTGCTGAAAAATACCTAACTATGCTTTTATACACAGAAATTTCTAACTGTACTTTTATAGACAGTTAATGCTATTCTTAAAAAGTGAGGGAGAAATACATTCTGGGAAAAATAAAATCTCTGCTAATTCATTTTAAGCTGAAAGAACCCTGCCAGAAATGTTAATAGAAGTTCTTTAGAATTTCTTAAGGGAGGTAATAGAGGTTCAAACATCAACAAATGTCACTAAAATGTCACCAGAAAATCATTAGTGAGAACTACAAAGAATTGTATAGTAAGTTTCTGATTTATGAACATTTGAGTTCTATTTAAAGCAACTATTAAAAAGTTATGATGAGTTACAATGAAAAATTTTTAAATCAAGCTGAAATATAACATTTGCTTCATCTACTTCTTATTTTTAAAAAGGGTAACTAATTGCCTGTGTTCATTTAATTTTCAGTGATTGAAAATTACTGTGTTCTGTAAGCAAAAATACCACTACAGAAAACAGAATGCTATGAAAAGAATTATTTTTATTGTCAAACACTATTGGTATATTACAGAAATGTTAAAATTGTAATAAAAGGATAATACTTTGCAGCAAAGTTTGCTAGCATTATGACTAATCCACAAGTTAGGGCAAATGCTATGGTCTCAAACCATAATCATTGTGTTTTCTTGAGTCAAATAGGAAAGAATAAAAAAAACCAGTTTGTAGATGATTGTAGCCTACATAAGTGAAATGAATGACAGCAACGTCATAAGGGATGAGAAAGCAGAACTTACACCCAATTATCTTACAATTAATTTTTCTTTTTTGTTTGTTTAATGATCTAATTGCAGTTTAAATATTGCATTGCATGATGTATATCTTACATATTAAGAATTTTATTTTATTTTATTTCCTTATATTTATTTACTGATGAAATAGAGCCATTAGTACCTCAGAGTTTCCCCCTGCTGGCTTTTCTAAGTATATCTTTTTGTTGTACCACAAAATGCATCTCTATGTTGGTGTTTCCTCCAGGTTAGTGGTATATGTTAATACGGGGTCCTCACACTGTTCTAATCTCAAATTGCTCTTACAGTTTCCAAAATGTTGAGGATATTGAAGAATTTGTGTTAATGTGTGTTACTTGTTAAATTGCACATGGTAATGGTTTGGATTATTTATGTTTATAAATAATAAACATAAATATAACTGTTGGCAGATTCTTTTATTATTCTTTTTCATGGATGAAAACTTCCTCATAACTGATGCACAGAAAAATTCGTTCTTCAAATACTCCTGTATTTTAAGGGAAAAAATGGGGTGTTTCTATTGAAATTGTACTAAGTCTTTGCCTACAATTTACCTTTTTAAATATTGTAGATAAATTGCTAAAATTAATAGCCAAATATAACACTAATATTTTGTTTTAAAAAGAAAAAGAAAAAAAATGAGCCACGGGTTCTACTGAAGCTATGGCATCTGTCCTGCTTAGTTCTTCAAATACATTTACTACTTAATGGTTTTAACAACTGTATAATTTTAAAAATTTTTGAAAACTTGCTAATAACCTTTGTTCAGAATTTAATAGATTATTTAATACAGGATATCAACTGCATAATGCAAATTGCTTGAATTGCTTTTATTTCAGGCAAATCAAATTAAATCAAACTATCAAACTACAAAAGAATGTCAATTTTGAAAATGTCAACAAAATGACAATTTAAATAACTGAAGTTCATCAGCTTGTTTTTGAATTAAAAAGGACATTGCATGAGAAGAGTGAAATAAAACTCAATGTTAAACAAACATTATTCTTCATTGACAACCACTATACTGCATGCAGCATGTGAACTTTCCATGTAGTCATATACTGCACTAAAAAAAAAAAAATTCAAGGAATCACTACTTATTGCCACTGCTTCTCATAGTCCAAGGACATAAAGTGAAAATGCTGTGTTTATTTCTTAGAAATTCATGGATATAAAGGGTACAAATTGAAATCCCTGACTTAATGTGATCTAAAGCACCAGAATATTTTCTTGTTGTTTCTGTGGCTCTACCATACAAATGTCAACACAAAGAAGACATCAAATAAGATTCTATTATCCTAAAGCAAAATATTAGTTTCAAAGCCACTCAGAAAAGGTCTTAAAGACCATGTGAGTGTGGGATCATAATCTGATCATGCTATTCTGAGATACCCTGCTGTCAGGAACTGAGAAACAGTTTCTGTCTCCCACACAGAGGCAGGTGGAAGATAAGCCAGTTTAGCTGTGTTATTTTGGAGGTGGTTGGACAACTGACTCACAAGATCCTTCAGCTTCCTTTACTTCTTGCTGCAAAACTGAAGCAAAAATTCTGAGCCATGATTTCCTCTCTCGGTGTAAATTCATTCTTTTCCTTCCACTAATACAAGTGTCTTCACAAATACTTCCAATTCCTGACTCTTGTATTTTTAAATTATTAGTGTGTTTTAAACGTGGCTAGACAGGGTATAATGGGATGCATAAGTACACATACAGAGTCAGATCTTCCAGGTAAATCAAAGCTACATGGCTGATGCATATTTTCCTTAATATCCTAGGCCATGAAATTTTCACACTTTGTAAACCACAGTCCCATAAGGCTGTCTTCACTCCCTTCAGCTTCTCAGAAAATCATATCTGGGAGAGTGTGGAGAGAGTTCAAACTTCAAGGATTCCTGGAAACAGAGCTGCCCTGCTAACAGGAAAAAGGCAACATCTGTGGTGATTCTCAGTCTTTTGCAGGAAAAGTCTCCTCCCATTAATTGGAATCTGCTGGAATCCATGCCAAGCCCAACACCTGACCTCCCTGTCCTGCTTTTGAATTCCAGGTAGTAATGTCTGGCCCCTCCTTCAGAACCTCTTATAAAAGTCCAGGCTTTGCTGCCCTAACAGTCATCAGGTTCTAGCAAGAGGCAAGAGAGGTAAGTGGGAGCTGAAAGAAATTCAGAAGCTGAAGATATGCCCCTGTCTCAGAGAACGCAGGGACTGAGACTTAGCAGAGGCTGCCCTTGGAGGTGTCATAGGATGGAGAGAAGACAGATTTCCCAAATCCTTTCAAATTATACGAGGGAATGGGTATGCTCAAGATCATAGCATCCCTTTCAGGAGTAGACACAGGAGAAGGAAAGAGGCAATGGTAACTCTGCATGTCCTCTCCCTGAACGCATCTCTTTCAGAGAATCTGATTGTCTCATCTCTCACTGACACAATGCTGCCATCCACGGCTCTCAGAGGCATGTCCTGGGCGCTGCTGTCCTGCATGATGCTCCTTTCTCAGGTGCAAGGTGAGATTTCTCTGGTGCAAGATCAGAACCAAAACGGGACAGAAGGATCCTTTGTGTCCCCTGTGGTAACAGTAGGATGTACCCCACAAGAAAAATTTCATCAAGTTCTCCATTCTCCTGTCTTGCTTCTGGTTGCTGTGAATGCACCCCCAGTGGTCCATTAACAGTGGAACCAAATGTCTTTTCACTTGGTCAGGAACTTATCAGTTACATTAATGGGTTGAAGTGGGAAAGGGTGAAAAGCTATTGATCAATTTTAGGGAAGAGTAGGAATTGGAGAACTGAAGGTAGGAACTGTGAGCCCAGAGTTAGAAGCATAGTGGAACTTGGAATTAGGGAAAAGGATAATGTGAGAAGGGATGCTTCTCCAAATAGTGGGCTTATTGTAAATGTTTCTCAAAGAATGTGGAAGCCACGATTACAGATTTAATACCCCAGGGTAGGTCTCGCGATCATTCATCCACCTGTCTCTATTTCTTCTTCTACCCCAGCTGAAGACTCCCAGGATAAAATCGCATCTCCACGCATCAGTTGTCCCAAAGGCTCCAAAGCTTATGGCTCTTATTGCTATGCCTTCTTTAAGACACCAAAGTCTTGGGTTGATGCTGATGTGAGTACTTACTGGTGGGGTTGAGGGTGAAAGAGAAAAAGACATGAGGGTCACAGGGTGAGGTATTCTCCATCTCAGGGTCTACTGGGAATTGAAATGAACACATTTGTCCTCCAGATAATATTCAAGGTCTACTGGGAATTGAAATGAACACATTTGTCCTACAGATAATATTCTCTTTGACTTAACTCTGCCATATCCCCAGGAGATGTGGGATCCCTTTCATCCTTTGCTTTCTCCACACAGTTGGCCTGTCAGAAGCGGCCCTCGGGACATCTTACATCTGTGCTCAGTGGCGCTGAGGGATCCTTCGTGTCTTCCCTGATCCAGAGCACTGTGACCAGCTATCAATATGTTTGGATTGGACTCCATGACCCAACACTGGTGCGAGTCCATAATTTCTTCTCTCTTAGCTCTAAATTGATTATTGTGTCTTTTTCCTGGATCTGTCTAGGAAGACAGGCAGGGTGTTGACTTCAGATTCTGAGTGATATTTGGAACAAAAGGTTGTCCTTGAACTCAGCCAAGCAAAAGAGTTTTGTGGAAATTCTCAGCCTTCCAATTAATCTTATTGTTTTCAATGTTACATAATTTTTACATAGTCATTTTGAAAGCATTTCTCTGACTTTTAAGGAGCCTTCCCATGGTTCACATTGCCTCTTTTTAGGATAGTTATTCCTTTGAGGTTAGAGGTTTACTAGTAATACAGCATTGCATATATTCAGCAAGAAACATGCTACTTTATGATAAATGTCTCAGACTGCTAAAAGAAGAGGGAGTTCTGGGAACCATCCGGGGAAGCAGAGAAAATTCCACAAAGCTGCAGAGACTGTTCCATCTAACAAATTGTGTCTGCAAAACTGTAATAGTCATTCCCTTCATCCGGCTGCATCCCTCTACCTTACAGGGCCAAGAACCCAATGGAGGTGGATGGGAGTGGAGCAGCACTGACGTGCTGGATTACTTCAACTGGGACAGGAATCCTTCCACTGCCTCTGACCGTGGTTTCTGTGGAAGCGTGTCACGAATCTCAGGTAAAAAGCACAGGAGCACCCTCCCTCCAGCCCTTTCTATCCATTCCCATTTTGAAGTCTTAACTTAGGAAAAACTGGTTGATCATGGAAATGCAATGCTTGTTTATCTGCTTCCTCCCATCTCTTCTCATTTCTGCTGCATTCTATACTTAGTCTCCCAGAATGGGACACTGATGAAGATGAGGGACTAGCGTTAATTTTTCTTTTTTCCCCTCTTGCTTCATCTTCCCAAGTAGCTAGGAGTACAAACATGTGTCTCTGAACATGGCACAAGTTTTTTTTTTTTCAATTTTTATTTTGTATTAGTACATGTTTGCAGTACATAATAATTTTTGGTACATGTGTATACCACAATTTAAATCTTTAACCATGCCCTTTCCCTCCCCTCCCCACTTCTCCCTATATCTCTTGTTCCCCTTTCTTTTTTTTACAAAAGATCTTTCTTTCTCCTATTATCTATTTCTCTGTATCTCTACTACTACTACTACCATTATTATTATTATTATTATTATTATTATTATTATTATCCCTGGCCCTCTATGTTCATAATTTGGGTTTTCATACAAGAGGATACTCGTAACATTTAAGCAGGTGTCTGATTTATTTCACTTAACATGTTGGTTTTGTTCACAAAATCTGCCTACTTAACTCACTTTACCTCTTCTGATACTAGGATTTCTGAAGTGGAGAGATTATAAGTGTGATGTACAGTTGCCTTATGTGTGCAAGTTCAAGAACTAAAGTCGACATTCAGTATCCTCCAATTGTGTGCAACTCATCATGAAAAAGAGTCCAATTTGTGAAGACCTATCTAGGAAGAAAACACTCTTCTTCTACCCCAAAAACCTAAATCCTCCTGGTAATCTTGACTTTTCTACTTTGCTCTCTACCCAGGTGCTTTTCTGTATGTTATGACATAAAGATTCAGAGAAAAAATAATAAAATTTTTGTTTATACCAGTATCATATTTCTTGTATATCTGTGTTCTACTCGTATGCCAGTCTGTATTAGTTTGAAATTATGTAGGAAGGAAACTTTCTTTCAGTTTCTCCCAGACCTATGGGAAAATGTAGAATGATGTACTCTATTAGCATAGTGGGGTAAAGATTTTGGGCGTCCTTATGTTAGATTTTGTTTAAACAATGAAGCTACTTCTCATGCAAACTCTCACTGTCCATGCATCCAGCCAACCCATGTCACTGATGGTGTGACACAATCATTCATCAGAGGCTCTATTTTGTTTTGCACATTGCTATTTGGAGAGTTACATCAGCAGCAAGGCTGAGTAGAACTTTTCACCATGTGTTTCTTTGCAGGAACATCAATTTGAACAACTGTTCATAAAAATAACTTACAAGAGCTCAGGGATACAAGTAGATTTCAGCACTTTTACTAGCAAGAAATAAGAACAGCCATATGAAAGTGGTAGGATGTAGAGTTTCACATTGTGCATATCTCCTTTTCCCTATACCCAGGCAACACAAAATGGAGAAAATTACCCTGTGCTTAGTCAAAGGAGAGTGATGAATCTCTCACTCTATTGTGGGCCCCAACAACAGGATTATTACTGTTAAATATGTGCTAAGCAGGCTCCTATACTCCCCATGAGGATGCAGAGGGGAACATTCTTATATCTGACTGCTGTCTTTGCTTCTTGTAGAGCAAAATAAACCTGTTTATGTATAGGTGCTGGGTGTTCTATCCTGGCAATGGAGAAGTGACTAATGTTAGTACTTGTAATATTAGTAATGGAGTCCTGGCTCTAAGTGCACCTAACCATGTGGTTCAGAACCCTTTATAAGTGGTTTGCAGGAGATAGTTAGAACGTATTAGAGATGCAGTCACAAGAAATTCTAGCATGCAGCTGTAGTCAGGGGTTTGCAAAGGGAATAAAACAATACAGGACACATAATTTATAGTATTATAATGGCCACTCCAGGAGTCAAATACAAAGAAAATGCCTGAAATCTGTCCATACGGAAAAGGCCTAGATAATTCAGCCAAGGATCTGGGTCCTTGGCACAGTGTTCTGCATGAGTCCAGCTGAAGACCTAGAGCCCATGACAAGGACTCTCATGAGTCCAACTGTAGGCTAGAGCCTACAACAATGACTCATGCAAGTCTATCTCATGAATTTGCACTAAGCAGGCCCCAAGGTCAGCAGTGTGAGGTAGAAAGTCTATGCCAGCAGGATGAAAGACCTGTGCCAGTAGTCTGAGTGTTTTGCACTGGAGCCAAGAAGCAATGCTTAAAATATTATTGGGGCTCCTCTGAAAAGTACCACAGCCATCGCCAGTGACAGTGAAGTCCCAAGCTCCTCCACTGATGAGAACAGCTGAGTTCATTTGAGCAAACCAGCATGACAAGCTCCTCCTGGAGATTAACTGGTGCATATCTTTCCCTCAAGAGCCAAGAAGCTCAAAGTAAGGACCAGAGCTTCCCTCAAAATGAACTGCAGCATTCTCATTGATAAGGTCCCAAGCTCCTCTAATGATAACAGCAAGTTCATATCATGGAAGCTAGAATGACAAGCTCCTCCAGGAGAAACAACAGCTCCAAAAGAACCAACAGCTCCAAACAACAATACTTAGGAGAACCTAGAATGCTACTATCTTCCTCTCCACTTCTCCATTTTATGTTGGCAACAGTACTCAGGTGGATCATCTGGACTCAGCACCACACTGATTCAGTTCACCCAATGGATAAGTTGATCATCAGTTTTCAATACACCACAAATGCTACAAGGGGAGCCTGGTAGATGATTCTAACTAGAGTTGAGGGAACTAGATTCCTGAAGGTATGGGCAGTCATTTTGAAGAGAACAAGAGACATTATGAGAGCCATTGTTGATTTTTGTATTGTCTGATTTTGAAGGCCAGTAATGCTTTCATTCTTTTGTTTTGATTGGCTTTATACTGTTTTGCTCTGTTTGAATTCATTGTGTGTGAGTATATGGACAACTATTTTGGGGAGACCTGTAGACATTGGTGTAGCCACTGTTGATTTCCTGTTGTCTTGTTTTGAAATCCTGTGTAGCTTGCATTATTTCATTCTGATCTGCTTTGTTGTTTTGTATTGTTCTCTTTAAAATTAAAAAAAGAGACCAGACTGCTAATAGGAATTCAAACTATAAATTCAGGCTAGGGAGATTTTAGCAGGGAATAAGGTTCATTTTGAGGTCACATGTGTTACACTCAGTCAAAAAGTTTTTCTATGTTTTGTTCATACACTGAAACTTTGTGTAAGACTGAAGTTAAGGGCAATAGGCTAATTGATCTAGCAGAGGAAATTCCAAAAGAGTCTAAAATCAGGCTAAATCAGGGTACTTCTGGCTGTTGTTACTCAGATTTATAGTGAGCATCAAGAACCAAAAATAGAGGTAAAAGATATGAAAAGTTTACAGTTTTACCAGAAAAGAGGCCCCTGAAAAGTTGAGGCCAAGGAGACCATGAATGCTGTAAAGATTAACATTAAGAAGAAGTCAAGTAGTTTGCATCAGGACCATTAAGAAGATGCCTTGAAGGCATCTGAAGAAATGATCAGACCCCCACTTAAAACAGGTTCAAGTGCATAAAAGAGTAAACTTACTTGAAAGAATTTCTTTTGAGTATCAAATCCTAAGGCAGTTTTCTCATTCAGGGCCACTAAGGCAGTGTATGCTAGAGTTCTGCTCTCCAAGTCCTCAGAGGTTGCTGCCCTCATGATTCATGGTGGCTGGGAGGGGAGTGGGAGTTGCAGACTGCTGCTTAACCTGGAGGCAGGTATTGGTGTTATCCACATGGTGCAGGTTTTTAGGCATGTGGAAGGTAAAAGTTATGGAGCCTCATGAGCTTTTAGCCAAATTCCCTAAGATCTTGGGGCCCAGCCAGCAAAATCTGTTACAGTGCCATAGTTCCTGCCTGGTCTCCTTGAGAGGGCAATATATAAAGGTCTGAGAACAGCAATGGGTGAAGCTGAAGGAACAGTGGAGATCACAGTAAGTTGGAGGTGCCAGGAATTAGAACATCTGCTGAGAAACAGCAGATGCTCAGTGGAGTCAGAAACAAATAAACAAATGAAAACAAAAACAAAATCCAAACAGTCCATATAGGCTTCAACTGGCAAGGCTGATTCACAGAATCAGCTCCGGGTGCAGGGCATGAAAGTACAGGACTAAATGCTTGTGTGTTACGTGGCTTTGGTTTTGGTCTTGCTTTGGCCTGACTCCTTTCTATTCCCTTATTGCTCCTTTTGGGAATGAGAAGGTTTACTCTGTGCCACTCTATGGTATAAATATTTAACTTTATATTTTACTTTTACAGGGGCTTGAAGCTAAGCGTTTGCCTGGATTCTCAAATGAGACTGTGGACTTGGACTTTTTGGCATTTTTGAAGCTGTTAAGAAGTTGACAAAGTAGAGATTAACTAAATACATTTTGCGTAAAGAGATGAACAGGAGCCTTTTTGGGGTCAGGCACATAATGTTGTGGGTTTGATCTTAACTGTTTCCCCAAAGGGCCATGTGTTTGGAGATAGGCTCTGTTCAGGTGGGGCAGATCATTGAGGGCATCATCTTAAAGGCTGTATTTTTACCGCAGGTTGCTTCCTTTGCTAAGTCCTGTGGTTGGAGTGACTTTCATCTGCCCTGCCATTTTTATCTTAAATCTACCAACCATGAAGACTGAACACACTGGAAACTGAACCAAATTAATCCCTCTTGTTTTAATTTATGTGTGTGTGCGTGTACATGCACAGTATTTTGTCCCAGTGAAAAGAAAGTGACTAATGTAACACTTAAAATGATAAAACTACTAAAAGAAAACACAAGTGAAAACTTAATGATATTGGTCTGGACAAAGACTTTTTTAAGACTCCCATAGCGCAGGGAACAAGATAATGACATGGCAATGGCTTGTGTCAGAATCAAAGAAAAGTTTGCAAAGAAAAGGGTATAATTAACAGAGCAAAAGGCCAATGTACAGAATGCAAAAAATCCTCCTCCAAATAAGGGAAGCTTAGACAACTCAATGATAAGAAAATAATATTTAAAATTTGTATAAATGACCTGCACAAACATTTTTTAAGATACAAATATATGTTTAAATTTAAGTATGTTCATGAACCCCTACAGATGCATTTTAAAAAGTACTTAATATTTCTAGTTATTAGGAAAATACATATTGAAACCATAATGTGATATTGTCTCATATCATAGGAATGATAATTATCTACAGGATGGGAAGATAAATGTTGGCCATGATACAGAAGAAAGGAATTCCCACACTACTAATGAGAACACAGTAGTTTTATAACCTTTGTGAAAAAGAGTACAGAGATAACTCAAAAAATTAGAGAGTCTTCCATATGATCCAGTAATTCCACAGGAAATGAAGTAAGTATGTGAAATAGAATTTCTTAAATATTCACATTCATTGCAGCATGATATATGATAGCAAAGACATGTAATCTACCTCAGTGTCTGCCAATGACTACATAGAATTTTTTTAAATATGGTATATACGAAAATTAGAATGCAATTCAGCTCTAACAGGGAAAAAGTTCCTGTCATTTTTAACAATGTAGATGAACCTGTAGAATATAGTATTGAAATCATCCTATGTGAGAAGGGCACTATATAGAATTTCTTATATAATTGCATTAGATTAATAACTTAAAAATCCAGTAGTAAGATAGCCTTTGAACTCTATTAGATCTGAACTCATATAGGATTTCTCTCATGTATGTTCTTCCATCCGGATGCATCCTCGCCTCCACTGACTTTCTTTTTCATAGCTCCATATAGTAACGAGGAGCAACTGGGGCTACTGACTCCTCATCAGCGCTAGAAAAGAGAACATTGACTCTTTTTAAACTTATGAAAGAAAAAATTGGGTTTCATTTTTTTAAAACTCTCACTATATTTTGCAAGTGGCACGTGGTGAAGCAGTAGCTGAAGACTGAATTATTATACAGCTGAGAATAGT